AAATATTGCTTCCTATTTGTTTGTTCTCTAATATTCATCCGTAAAGTATTTGTGATATGACTATCAGAAAAACAAATCGATGTAGAATATTGGACACCGTGTGTTTAGACAGTTTGCTCCGAATGGCGGATATCATTATATCTGCCTTGAATTTCCGTTTTGAATAAGCTATTTCTTAGGCAATAATTCAGTGACTTTCCCTCAACCAGTAGACCAATAACTCTGAAACAACCATCAAGATCAGTATTTAACCCATACTACTCCAGAATACAGTTTTCCCACGTTTACCTGCTCGATAGTCAGAGTAGAACAGGAATGTAACAGGTGTATGAACCTCTGTTGTATGATCTGTTTCATAATTCATACTCATGTGATGACAGATATTCATTTCCAAATTACATGTTAACAGATACACAAAAATACGAACTAAGCATGTTTACACCGAAGGAGGAATAGATTTATGTAACGAGTTCATGATCAAACGAAAGATGTGATTGAAGATAGAATGTACGACAGTGTTTCATGTGTCAAACTAAAGCGTACAACCAGGATAGTGTAAATGTTCAAGTATTTAAAAATCATACAACTATAAATAAACGTCACTCTTTTTCAGACTGTTACTAAACTTTTAATTTCAGTGTTTTCATCCCAGAAACAATCAGGACACTAGCATCGCACTATTCTGTTTCATTCACATTACTTTTAAAAATAATTCAGCGAAAAATATAATAAACTTCAGTAATAAGGATAGTAATCAAATATAGAAATCATGTAGGACCTAATACGTTGCATTCAGTTAGACTGCTTTTTATGCGTTTTCTTTCGAAGAAGGTTCTGTACACACTTATCTGGTTTATAAGTTCCTGCAATTATGAAATTTTAAGGTTTCTATATGGGTTTTGTCGAGGTTCTTGCTGAAACGTATCTTTTACATCCAAAGGCTGATCGCTTGTTCAAACTCTAAACAACCTCTACATGTTAGTGGGAAGATAGATCAGCACAATCTCTCACTAAACCCACCTCGCACCTGATCAGATGGCTTTATGATTTAACCTGGTCCAAATGTGTTAGGTCATACATTTGCCGTTTGACTGCCTTTATTTAAACAAAAGCTGTTTATTTTTATTTTAAGGGGTGTGAACTTATGATGTAACGCTAATGTCTTCCTGGTAGATTTACATGGTCTAACAAACTTAAAGCTCCCCAAGGACGAATCAGTCAGTATACTGAAGGTCTCTCATGAAAATATGGTTGACGTTTGTTCTTTCCGTCTAGCCGGAGATAAAAGTCGCTTTGAGACTACATGGTGACCTTTTTACGAAACCTGGAGGATTCTTTATGATGATCATTTTTAAGTATTTCAGACCCATTAGTGCTTGAATTTTCACGCTTTATGGTTGGCTGTGCGAAATATCTAGTGGAGATATTCCGTCTGCCTCTGCAGCATTGAATTTACTCATCAATAAGTGATGTCGTGGTCGACGTCATTATAGAGAATGAAATATGGTGTTGTTAATCATCCCCAACTTCCGAGCCCGAACTAGTGACGAACAAATGCGCATCGGTCCGTTAATTCAACAACATGTCCATTCACTGACACAACAGCACTGGAACATTGCCAGTTACGACTCTCTCGTTTTCTCGATTGTTGAAGTTCTGTTCGCGTTAATTGTTGAGTATGCATTCCCTCAGTTATCTCAGGTTACCAAAAAGGTAATAAGGATCCTCCGGAATCGATAAGCTGAATGATAAGTAAAAAAGATGGCAGCAGCAGCTGATCGTGAAATAAATTTTATGGTTTCAAAACCTTTAACTTAGTTCTTCACACACGCAGAACAGAAATTCGGCTGAACATTACTCAAGAGTTAGACAGAGTGGGACTATAATAATTAAAAATAACTCACCATATAGATATTTTAACAAGACACATTAAAATGGATAGTAATCGCTGTTGGTCAATTGCTTAAAATATAAGCAGTACAAGTATTTTGTGTTTAGAAATAGAAAAGCAATCAATAGTTTATAAATGCTTTTGGCATTGTTTTTGGCTTAAATTAGAAAGCCAAATAATTTTCATCTCGGTGTGGTGTCCGTATGAGATGATTTCCATTGGCATCTGCATTAGTAGGATTACTGAAAGAGCCAATGAATAAACACGGAAAGGAATGATTGCAACTAATGCTACAGTTAGTTTGCCAAGTTTGATACGAATTATTTAGTTTCGTGAAGATTTCCTCGAGTTTATTATTACTTAATCTTGATAGAACTTAGTAGTACAACTAGTACATAGGAACTGTCATCAAATCGTGATAATTGTGTGCATTTTGGACAGATAGCTAAAAACAGTTCGTTAATCATAGGTGTATTCATGACAGGCATGCTGTAGACTCAATTTTATTTATGTTCACGCTTACCGGCTGATGATACACACAAGTTAGTTGCAAGCATATAGTTTAGCATAAGGTAGAAAACGAAGTACTTGAAATTGTGGTGGATCCCGGCAAAAGAGCTTATTCAAGATATATCAATACGCAAGGTTATTAATAACATACCAAAAGAGTTAACAGTAAGACCCTAGGTGTTTGTCTATGAGTAAAACTAAAAGTTAACAAATCACAGTTAGAATACAAATGGTATATTAAACAACAAGGTAATAACGGTTGTGATGAAATGAATGTTACTTGTAAGCCGCTCTCTAAGATAACAACCACAAATGAGTTCAGTTGATTAGCGAAGATTCCTCTGAACGAGATGGCACCAACGGTTTAATGAAAAAGACTGTATCCAATAGTATTATTTAATAATGATCCGGGCCAAAAATCAAACGTAGTGTAGGAAGGCCTAGAAGGACATTAAAACACTAGTATGGTTTTTAATAAAAAACCGTGGCCAATAAAGCAGAAGAACAGACGGCGGAGATAGCGTCTTATATTTCAACCAACGCGGTGGAATATTCGTATATAAGTATCCAAACATTTATAATCGTTTTTTAACAAGTGATACAGAAAAGCAATATATATTGAATAAAAATCTGGCTACATATATAGTGTGTTAAATTAGAGAAAAAATGCGGTTTTTATTTTGTCGTTACAAAAACCACTGAATATACGTGAATATATAGTGAATATAAGTTGTTAAAATGAACACAGCCAAAATGTAACAACTATGTGACATGATGTTGTGCGATGCTTCCAGTTAAATAAATTTTTGCAAGACGATAAATAGTGATTGATGTTCATGTCATTATCAGGATGAACACAATTTGTAGCCAAAAGAAGTACAACTCCCAGCTCGTGCCTATGATAATAGCTTGAACCTTGGTTTGTGTTGAGTTAAATTCAACACCTTTTCCAGTTTGCAGGAGATTCGCTCAACAGCTTAGACTGATGATTTTCGTGCAAGATTGTGTTGCTAAACCTTAAATTAAACTGACGAGGTTTTAAGATGTCTGTTTAGTGAGCGAATGATAGAAAAGCATACTGAAATCATCTGTAATAGATAAAGATATTTGCGAGAAAACAATACTATTTAATGGCAATTAAAAGTCAATTTTTTGACCGATTTTGTTAATAGTTCTATTAATTTTATTAATCACATTACGTGATTGTCAAGTCATGACAATGCTTTATGACGATATCCAGGAACTATTATGTTTAACTAGTTATAGCGTTGACTGAGAATTAGCCAGTGGGAAATAGGTATTATTTTAGGTGATTCCGAAATAGCAGAATTTCGTAGCACCAACTGATCCAAGCTGCCTAATAATATTAAAATTTTCGATCCAGAAATATTCGTTCATTAAATTTTAATTTTAATAATAGTCGACGGAGTTTATTTAGAATATTTGTATGAATAATATGGCGATAGTTTGGTCATTATGTCACTGTAACACTATTGTAGCTAAGTTCACCGACTGTAGTATCTAAACTATGTTCAACGTCTTTTTAAAGAACTATGACTGTCCAATTCATAAAACTGAATACGTATTGCAATGACGACTACGAACGGTTTAATGAAAACATTAAAAACGATTCAAATGATTGTTAAATTTAAAAGGCATATAGACGGCGTTCGGAAGATTGTGTAACAATCAGTGATCTGTCGTCTAACGTAGAAATGGTTCAGTATGATGAGAATTATTCTCAGGTTCAGTGAAGCAGCCACGGCCGTAGTCTTTCCTTCCCTGAGTTCAGAACCAACCCATATTTATAATGCGACTACGTATTCATTTGAAACATTTTAGAAAGTACTTTTACATCAGGCTTCTCAGATAACATCGTCCCTACCAAATATGCAACTAACATATTATCCAAATTGTCACATCCAATATAGTCTGCAATGTTTCATCTGTTAATAAAAAATTTAGTGAATATCAGATTGACTATTCTGATCTTCATTCTTCAGTAATAAAGATACTAGGTAGGTGAACCTGTCATAATGCTGACTAATTGCCTTCGAGTGAAGTTCCAGCTTCTCTCTGAAAATATTCATTGATGTGGCTGATACTGCGCGTACCAGTCATTGACTAGATGAGAAAAACGGAACCCTACTTTAAGTTTGTTAGATCTCGGTTTGTGAACTTTCTTGCTAGGGCCTCGGGGATTATTTGTGCTGGAGGGACCAAAAAGATAAGACATATTAACACCCTAATCATAACTGAAGATACGAAATTCCACTACAAGGTCACGTCACGTCCTATGATATGACAAGGAAAAAAGGTTTAGGCGTTGTAAGCGCTCATAGTAAGGGATTTCAGAAAGACTCTTCTCTAATTTTATTCTCACACTCTGAACACGCTCAAGTGAGTTATTTCCTAGATCAGTTGCTTGGGTGCACTAACCTGAGTGTGGTCTTACATAGGTGAGAGATAAATTTCGAAATGTCTCCTCGTCAAAGCATTTGGATGCTCGGAGAAGTGACGCACGAAAATATTTGTTTTCAAGTCATGACTTATTATTACTCCTAAATCTTTATGTGCTTGAACTACCATCACTAGTATAATGGTAAATATTACCCTGCCCGACATGCATGAGCACACTCCTCCTAGGATTACCTCCCAAGCCCCAACCACAAGCACACTTAGCTAATTCATCTAAGAAAGCTTGAAGATCAAAATAATCAGCCTCACTTCTTATTGTTCTACAGATTTTTACATCATCCGCAAACAATGAGCGGTAATTCATTAACGTATTCATTAACGACCTACAATGACTCTAACAATGCAGAGGAGATTTCCATGCGATTTTTGCTTGTTGTTAGAGTTTTGCGTATAACCTATTGGAGATCAATTGAATTCCTGTTTGTTTATATGTACAACCTAGGTCTTAGGCGGTTGTCCTTGTACAACCAGCTGTTTATCCTCTTCCGTGGTCAAGTGGGTCGGAGTTTTACTGTAAAAGTGTAGTTAGAAGTTAGCAGAGAGTTGTTAAACATTTGATCTCCTAGTCCTTTCTTTCTTAATGGGATGCAAGTCTTACTAATCTTTTCTGTAATTTGACTCACTTTCTACTGAATATCCTCAATAATCGTGGGTCACTGTTACATTTTGGGTCTTGTATCATACGCGATAGACAAAATGAGAGGGTACGATAGTCCCGGACAATCTTCGTCATTAATAAGATTGCAATTGAGATTAAACTAAAAGTTACCAAGTGTGAATAGGTCACTGATTAAGTACCATTTCCATGCAAATTTCGAGTCTATTGGGAAATATACAACTTTCGTGGATTGTATGTATATATGAAGCAGGCGAGAGGTACATATTTTCTGTGCAATGTTGGGACAACTGGTACTCAAACCGCATCAATTAACAATTATGCCAATAAGTAGATAACAGGGTCGATGTTCATTACAATCCCGTTTAAAAAAATTAGTTTCACTTGTCATGCAAATGCTGGTAAAACTTATGGTCAGAGTTGCCAAAATCTGATTTGATAGTATCAGTTTGGTAAAGTTCTCGACAAATTAACTAAAAAAATGCTAACTTCGAATTTTATCAACTGCCATCATTCTAGGTATACGAAGGTCTTGTGTAATATGGTCCAGCTAATTAGAGTATGATCACAATAGAGTTGGTCCTACTATTTCAAGGATTAAAGTTCTTCCACTCGGTCTCAGTAATAGTAGGAGGTTTCTTTCATAGTTTCCCTTATTGTTGATTCCTAACTTTGTTACCTTTTTTCAGCAGTCGGTTTAGATTGTTTTCAGTTGTTCGTCGCAAGTGATTGACTTTTCATCAGGCTACATGGTTGTATAAGGCCGGTGAAAGTATTGATCTCTCAAAGGGCTTGCTGTAGGCAGCAGTTCTGTTGTTCCATCACGTTCATCGAGTAAAAACTTGGGCTTCATGAAAAGATTGATTCATTAGATTCATACCATTATGAAAGAATCGGTTGGGAGATAATTAGAAATAGTTGACTTAGTTTTTGGTGGATTTGATTTTCAATAGTAAGGTTTCAGTTCAGAATCTCGATCCGCCTATTTTAACTTAGAAAGCCCGATAGCATCGCAAGCTTTCAAAGTAAAAAGTGCATTCATAGAGTGGATGGAACAGCATTTACACCGTTTAGCTCTCATCATTTCTTGTAGTATGGTTAGTACGGACGACATTGAGTATTTCTGAGTTTAATTTTCAATGATTTTGTTGTATCGGTAGGGCAGTGTTAGAAGGGCTTAATTTTCAACTGCTAAACTACGAATTAGAACCTTATCTTATCTATGGCACCTTTCCCTAGTGTGACATGAGTTTAAGAACTTAATTGATTACTGAGTTATGTCAGTGAATTAATATAAGTTGATGGCTTAAGGCATAGTAACCTTTTTTGATACGTTGTGAATATGGCGAAATCTATCATTATTCTTACTGTTTATTATGCGAATACTGTCATACTATCCATAATGGGAATACAGCTTTGTAAAACATGAGCAGAGAGTTCTTCCTCTTGGTTATACTAAAGTATTTAACGTGAGGTATGTTTGGGTAATATAGTTTGGTAAGGCTTATCACTAATCTATGGTGAATATGGAGCTTATCTGTTGCAAAGATGTAAACCACTCTAAGCAACGATGCAAGCATGTTTGGGATGCGATTCTCCCCCTCGAAATGCAAAATGTTGCTTCAGGATTGGGTTGCATTGACACCCGAATTAATGATAGAGAGTGAAGTAATTGAGCGTGTCGATCACTTCACTTATCTTGGAAGTCTCATCAGCCCTTGTGGTCTGGTGTGACGAAATCTCAGCACGGATACAGAAGGCTCGACTAGCTCTTTCCAACTTGCGTCATTTATGGCGTAGGCGAGATATCCGTCTATCAACCAACTAACAGGTTTACTGCGCAGCAGTTCGTTCCGTCCTACTTTACGGCAGTGAAACATGGCCGGTAAGAGTAGAGGATATTAGTAGGTTACTAGTATTTGATCATAGGTGTCATCGAAATATTGCTCGTATATCCTGGGACCATCGAGTAAGTAATGCAGTTGTTAGGAAACGGGTACTAGGTAAGGATGGCAAACCAATTGATGACGTGATGAAACTTCATCAGTTGAGATGGCTGGGACACGTTACGTATGCCCAACGACCGATTGCCTCGACGTGCGATGTTCAGTGGTATAGGAGTAGGTTGGAAGAAAGCTAGGGGCAGCCAGACCAAAACATGGCACAAATCCATGAAGTCACTGACAAGTGGTCTGAGTCATGTTGGTAGGTGTAGACTACCTGGTTGGGGACCGCGAGATGATAGCAACCGATGGTTAGAGACCCTGAATGACATGGCTCGAAATCGTTTGCAATGGCGCAGGTGCATCCACTCTTTGTGTTCTCCCAAATTTTGATCTTATTCCTCCTTGTCTCTATTTTTCTCTTCCCAAATTTATTTCACTGTATTGTACTCTTTAAATAACATCTCCAAACACTAATCTTCCTGATTACTGCTTATACTCTTATTACCTCTACCACTACGGAATTTGAATTGACCACTGCACCTCTGTGCTAATGTGGTGTAGCAACTCGAACTGATGTACGTACGTACGAAGTTCTACGTTGTTGATTACTGACTGCTAAATGGTTGGCCATTTGCTCTAAAATTGGCATCAACTGACTTTCTGTTTTTTGAGTAGCATTCATTCGACCTTTTCATACAGTTATTGAAAGGTGCATGTTCTTAATAGTGTGATCTTAAAAGCTCATGTTCCTAAGTTTCTTGACAATACACTTGACCAACAGATGTTAAGACAACCTTAAAGCGAATAAGTCGTGTAATTTGTCGTGGTCACATAATTGTTTCCAACATAATAGGTCGTATAAAGCGAACTTTGGTAGTCATTGAGTATGTACACTTTTTCGATTAACTAACAAGACAAAAAGCTGTGCTAATTATCAAACACGAAATCTCTAATCTTATCATCCTGTTATTTGAGGGTCTACAACATAATCAATAGGCCTGATGAGTGATGCTTTGATGTTGTTAGAAAAGTTTTTCCTTTCTGTTGGGGATAATGGCTTAAAGTAATTGTATGTAGTAAATTTATGTTGTAACTATCCTGTATTCTTACCACAAAATCTGTGATTCAAAGCCCATTACACTCATGTGTACTTGTTTGTTAGAAAAATATCTGGTCTCGTACAAGCTATTTGCACACACTAAGTTATTTCATGATTAAGCGATCCGTTTGATATTGATCTTATGAAGTTAGGTTTTCATAGATTAATTTAGATTAGTGTACTTGACATTCTAGGTTATATATTTCCAAAGATTTTACTCTGTGGAACAATTCAATCACAGGTATAGTCATTTAAGCCATCTTATCTCTTCGTTAACTAACATCGGCTGAAGAACTTATCTACACAAACCTTTGGTTGATCAAGATGTAATAATCTAATTTGCTTATTTCCTCGCAAGGGTTGAAAAATGGCATGCTACAATTAAAAATTTAGGCATCTTGTATGTGTTAATGGATTTGTAATCTATTTATTTTGTCGTTGGTAGTAAAAACCGCTCAGCTTGAACACTAAAGAATACATATATCCTAACAGAATAACATTTATGGGATACAAATTACTGCTAGCTCAAGGGAAATGACTATATTACTTCTTATCATCAGGGTGTGTCAACATTGACTAGTCAAAAATGTATTATACATCAGCCGTAGTTGATAATTTAGTGGGCTTTGTGGACTGTTTTCCCATGAACTTTGGCTAATTACTTTAACAGACGATACTTACTTAGTTAAATCAGTTAACTCTAAATAAGTTCACTTATCTTGGAAATCCGGTCTGCCCTGATTGCTTGGTGCCTGACAAGATCTCTGCACGGATTCAAAAAGCTCGTTCAGCTTTTGCTAACTCCACCTATGGTGAAGGCGAGATATCCGTCTATCAATAAAAGGACGAGTATACTGCGCGGCAGTCCGTTCTGTCTTACTTTACGGCAGCGAAACATGGCCTTTAAGAGTAGAAGACACTCGTAAGCTACTAGTATTTGACCACAAATGCCTTAGAAATATTGCTGGCGTCTGTTGGGATCACCGGGTAAGTAATAGTGAGGTTAAACGCAGGGTATTAGGTAATGATGGTAAATCAGTTGATGAGGTTGTTAATCTTCATCGACTGAGATGGTTAGGCCACGTGTTACGTATGCCTGAACACCGATTACCACATCGTGCAATGTTAACCGGTGTTGGAGATGGTTGGAAGAGAATTAGGGGCGGCCAAACCAAAACGTGGCTTCAGTGCTTGAAGTCACTAACTTCTAGTCTGAGCCATGTCGGTAGATGCAGACTACTTGTTTGGGGTCCGCGTGACTTTTGTAATCAATGGTTGGAGACTCTTAGTGACATGGCTCAGAATCGATCTCTTTGGCGTAGGTGTATACACTATATGTCTTCCCTTAAACTAAGAGATTAAAATCGCTTCATATCGTTCTTTCTACGAACTAATTCTTCCTGTACTATATCCTTAGATGCAATCTTTCTTTTATATATTACCACCATTGACTTAACTACTCCTATGAATCCGGTGTTGTGGTAATGAGGTATGGCAACTTGGACCGATGCACATATGTGCCGGGTCCTACGTTGTAGCTGACTGACTGAATGCCAATGGTTTGAGTTCATGAAATTTTGTTACTGGTCTCCTGAGACCACTCTAAACTGCGTGTTTGGGATTTTAATGTACGAACCATGTGTCAGATAGGACAACAGGCTTCTTTAGCTAGGACTTTAGAATCTCAAATCATCGTTAGACTGGATTTCAACAGACAGTCGCTTCTACACTGTTCGATTAAACTGAACAGTAAGAATTTGGGAACTTAGTGACACGTCGTTTCCTTATCGTTGTATCTGAGTAAACTCTCATCGATTATAGCTTGGAAAAAGTTGAAAATGAATTTTATGTTATCCAACCTCGGTCAAAAAAGTAAACTCTCTGACTTGGTAATAGTGGCAGTTAATTATGATGTACAAGTAGCTCAACTGAACTAAACCGAAATTCACCTAGGCGGATCTTACGTTGTCGTGGCTCAGCGAACAGATTATGGCGACTGTTTGTTGCAACTATGCCCAGATAACCGTTTAATTCTGTCAACAGCAGCTTTAAACATAAGGAAAAGCATCGTCCGATGTGGTGATGAACTTAAAGAGATCAGATTTCCATAAACCGTCGTTGTAGGGGGTTGATTACACATTTCTACTTATTCTACAGCACATGCTTGAACTCAGATCATGCTCTAATTCGAGCACGTGTTTGTCTGCGTCTTACCGGACGTATAAAAGAAAATCCTTTATAGTTCAACTTAATGATGAAAAAGTCAAGAGCATATTTCTGGACTAATTAGAGGAGGAGCTAGTTAATCGTCGAAATGACATCCACCATGAGGTGGCTTGGTATGATATCCAAAATGCTGTGAAAACAGCAGTGATATATACTAGTAACTTAAAACTGAAGGTTAGGAAAAATCAGTGGATTTCAGCGGTGCTAACAGCACGAATAGATGCTCGGAAACTCACACGTGGTCCAAAACACGAGGAGCAGGTGCAGCTTATACGTATGTTGATCAAAATCAACGTAACGATCTTAAGCAGTAGTGGGTAGCGAAAGCAGAAGAGATGAAAAAGGCCACAGCGGAACGTAACATTAGACAACTGTTCAGATTTATTAAGGAAACATGAATTTAAAATACGGCTGTTGGTGAAACTATCTCGGAAAAAGATGGGACTATTGCTCATTGAAATGATGTGCGAAGCACTTTAGGGAACAGTTCAATTGACCTTCAGCCATACTTCTGTTACCCATTATCTCCAACCGACCTAAATGACAAAGTGATGTAAGTCCTTCAACTCTGGAGGGTTGTTAAGCCTATAAGTAGTCTAAAGTGTGAGAGAGCAGCTGTGTCCGACTGACTAATTCTCAAAATTCACAAGATTGGTGGCCCAGTTTTTCGTATTAGATTGACAGATCTTAGACAGAGTCTGGGAGCTGGATATAATTCATCTAATTGGTCTCGATCACTGATCATTTTAATCTATAAGAAAGCAAAAATCCTCTTTTAGCCACCACAGAAGAACCAGTTTAACTAATATAGTGTCTAAAATATTTACCTCAGTAATACTTCGAAGTCTAACTACAGCTCATGAAGGTAAAACCTGAAAAAAAACAGTCTTATTTCAGACCTGTGTGTAAATGTATAGACCAAATATTCACCTTTCAACCGCCTCTGGAATATAGACATACTTTTCGACGTCGAACCATCCCGTCACTGAAAGGTGTACCGACGAAGCAACTCAACTTTGTACAGACTCTCTACTAGGACACTACTGGTCGAGTCAGAGCTTATGGCCAACATACATCGGGACTGGTTACTTTAATTGGTCTTCGTCAGAGTTGCCACTTTCCCCATTTTTATTTAGCTTTGTCTTAGACATGCTTTTAGAGATAACAGTTTTATCGTCTGACTTAGGGATTGATCATATACCAGGAGATCCACTTGTTGACTTGGAATACGCAGATGATATAGTTCTGTTTGAAGATGCTGAAAACATGAAGTATTATGACTATCTTAAGCATCAATGTTAGCATATTTGGGATGCTATTTTTCCCCTGCAAATGTAAAATGTTACTTCAGGATTGACTTGCGTCATTGCCTGAATTAGTGATAGGTAGTAAAGTGGTTGAACGCACCTACTGCTCCACTTGGGAATTTCACCAGTGCTGATGATTTAGTGTTTGATGAAATCTCGGAACAGAACCAAAGAGCTGGTTTGACTTTAGCCAACTTGAGTCATTTATGGTATGGGTCAGATATCTGTCTCCTAATCAAATAGCGAGTTCAGTGCTCAGCTGTTTACTCCACTCAATTTTATGAATGCGAAACATAGCCATTAAGAATGGAGGATATTCGCGGGTTACTAGTGTTCAATAATAAGTGTCTACGAAGCATTGCTCGTGTATTTTTGGGACCACAGAGTATACAACTCCCGGGTTTGGGATAGAGTGCTAGGTAAAGATGGTAAATCGATTGTTGAGGTAGTAAATCTTCAACCGAGGTGGTTAGGACGTGTCTTACGTATGCCTAACCACTATCCACCTCGACGGGCATTGTTTCCTGGTGTAGGGGTAGGCTAAGAGAAAATGAGAGATAACCAAGCCCAAGCATGGCACTAGTTCATGAAGTCACCGACAATTTAACTTAATCATGTTAATAAATGTAAACTACCTGGTTGGGGTCTGCGCGATTATCGTTACTAATGATTAGATGCTTTGAATGACATGGTTCGAAATCGTTTCCAATGGCGCAAGTTCATCTATTCCTTGTCAACCCCAAATTTTGGGGTTCTAGATTCCTTATAAGGTTTTGGTGTTTTTATTTCACTAAATTGTATTTTCCTCCCGAATCATATTTTCGATACCTAATTTTTTCAATCACTGCTGATAATGCTACCACCTCTGTTATTGTGAGATCTGTGTTGACAATGTCATCTCTTTATGCTAATGAGATATTGCAACTCGAACCGATGTACATATGTATCTAGTTTCACGTTATGACTGACTGACTTGGTTATTGATCAAGTATTACTCTCTACCCTCATTTGAGTATCGTTGATTGTCGTAATTCCCACTCAACCCATGACTTGATAACTGCGTTAGAATTTGTTATGCTGTAATTTTTAGTCTGCTAAAGCAGCTCAAACCATAACTTAATAGTTCACTGTTTAACAAATATATTTGTTGTGTTCGCACGAGCACGTTTTTGCCATTCATTAGTGAGTGGGTAGATCTATATGACCTTCCTGAATCAGGTGATTTTACGTTAAAAACACCCATCACAAAATTTTTTTCATTGTTTGTTTTTTGTCGCATAACACATACAAATCTACAGAATGCAAACAAACGAACTTATTAATGGAATCACTGAGACAGAAGACAGTTCATATATGGAGAGTGGAACGGATATTTTGGATTTTTTAAACACATCTGATACAGAGAATGAAGATATAAAAGATATTATTGGAAATGAACCAGATAAAAGTACTGAAGAAGATCCATGCAATGAAGAAGCATCCTCCTTAACACTTTCCATAACCAATGTAGTTGTTATGGCTAGTCTTCAGTGTCATTTACGATTGAAAGAAATAGCCAGAACTAGTGTTAATGTAGAATATAAACCGCTTCAGAATGTAAGTTTAGACGATTTTTATTTCAGTTTTACAATTTTATGTCTATTGTTGATTTTGAAGGACATATACTCCCAAATTATTTTTAGCTTAGTTGACTTACCTGGTAAATTAACTCGTTAGATTCTCACGAGTAGCTAAATGTTTTTATAATACTTTGTTCTGGCCCTTAAATGCTCTGGTACGGCTGACAGTCGGGAGAGTCAGCTCTCCTTCCCAAAATGTTCAAATGGCCACGTGCATACAACCACTGTCTTCTCACGGCAGGGGTGTTGTTTACGAAATTGAGAGGATGAAAAGCGAATGTCTGGCTCTTTAACCGGATTGGTGCACACGGAAGGTCCACCTAGGGGAGTTGGAAAGCCCTGATTCCAGAACAATAGTGCACATGGGCCGCAGTATCCTGAAGGAACAAATGACGTATGAACCAATCGTTGGTCACCGGCTACCATAGGACTGCATCTCTTTACGATGCTCCGCTGCCTTGTGGATCAGACCTTTAGATCGAAGGCTCGGGGTGTGGCCCCCTAAGAAAACCACCTGCTTCGGTTTGGGCACCCGGTCCGTATCCCAACCCCCACACAAATCGAATAATTTATGTGGCGCCTATCTATTTGGTGCCTTCTTGTACCAATGTTTGTGTTTAAATAAATAAATGAATGTTTTGGTTATCCATTCTATTCATTTTATTTAAATACTAGTCGCAAATAGATCTAAGTTAAAATGCATAAAAACTAGGCAATGCCAAACAATGTACATCACTTTAATTGACAGTTATGTGCGTAATTATATTTAACAACAACGACGGTACTATTTCTAAATCAGTTAACGTTCCAGCATTTGAATTTGTGGAGATCTATTTTCAATATTATCATAACTAGAAGTTTGGATATCATTTATTTTAATGAATTTTATGGAAAGGTTCGATAGTTTCGTGAAGTTTTTATGTTCTCGAATCAAGATAATATGAAAAACCATAGAACAACGTGTATTGACTATTTTTAAGTTTACTTACTAACTCACTAGTGGAGATCAAATAGCCTGGTTTCGAGTTACACTGTGTGATGACTAACGACATCCGGTTGTCCAAACAAAAGTGAGTGATGTAGAGCTCCAGCCTAGGATTTATTGGCTGAGTGTAACGCCTTAACCATTGAACCATGGCTTCGTTATTCATAAATTGAACTATCTCCAAGTACTGTGTTGTGCTCCTCCAACTGTTGGTTTACACTTGAACACTGCTTTCTGATTATTAATATGATATCTTTATACAATTCCTGGTTTGTAGTCAGTAGTTTGTTAATAATAATAATAATAATAATAATAATAATAATAATAATAATAATAATAATAATAATAATAATGTAATTTACTTACCAAGTATGAGTATATGTATTAGCCTTTAAACCATACTATATGTATAAAATCTAATGATACTGTATAGCTGCTTCAATATGTCACCAATTTTCAATATTTAAATGCTGATCAGTTAGGAAGTTTAATTTATTTATATGGTTAAACAAGAGTAAAACATTGCCAGCCCTTGTGTAATAAATTTATAGATGTTCAATAGACTTTATTTGTTGAGTTATAGGATTAGATTCGATTACGTTGACTTTTTCTGAGCATAGAATTTCGTGATATTCATTACCTGTTTCCAATACTTATCATATATTTTCAAACCTTTACTATATATATTATACTACCTAGTTAAATGCTCATCTCTTAATGTGAATCTTGATATAATCCCGAAAGATATTATTTTCTTCGAGTTCATTACCGTTTTTGTGTATCCGTCTTAAGTTCTCGATTTTTGAGAATTCAATAATATCAATATATTTTTATTTTGTTGATTTTCATAAATATACAGCATGTTATAATGCGTTTACGATCACCGTATACAGTAGCAACAATTTGGTCTAGCGGAAAAATTTGGTGTACTGGAGCTAATTCGTAAGTAATAAGTTTCAGTAATTTTTCTGTGCATTCTTTTTCCCCATATAGCTGTACCAAATGTCAAACATTTTACTTTTTATCGGTGTCTATAATGTAGTATACCTGATCATTTCTGAACTGTTGTTTCGTATTCATTCATTGCATTAAGCTATTTGAATTTGTTAACAACTGTATTTGAATATCCACGTTAAATTTTTTGTTCTTTTGTGGTTTTAACTAATTGATGTATAAATATGTGTAATCGAGATGAATTAACCAGTATGGTATTCATGGTTGCTCGCTAGTAATAGCACTTTGTCTGTGTGTTTCTCAACGTTGTACAAATTATAAATTCATAAACTGTGTTAGTTTTTCAGTCTGTTGGTATTTACAATTTAGAGAATGATTTATTTGTAATACTGCGCACGTCATAAATATGATAGATATCTTACTTACATGTGATGTATGACAAACGGAAGTATTTGTGTGACAGTAGTTTATAGGTTATATATTTAAGCATTCAAATGTAGAGTAGTAGATCAACGATTAAAACACTTGACTTTCAATCATAAATACCATGTTGGAACTCTGCTACATCTACTTCGGTTTGAACAGTCGGGAATTATCGATAGTGTGATTTATGACGAAGTACATAAGCATGAACGTAGTAAGTTAAGTCACATTGAGAAATCAAAGGGTTTGGATATATGTGTTACCCTCTTTCTTGTTCAGTGATTGTTCATTAATGTACGTCCGTCGAACTAATATTAATTAAAATAATAAGCTGAGATTAAGTTTTACTTCAACTGTGTGTAGTTATAAAAACATCGAAAGAGCAATCAAAGCCAGTAGTCCGCTTCATTCGTTTATGCGACTGTGAACTGGTGAATTATCAGTTTACAATGAATGGTAACTTTATGTATGTAGTTTGATAGTTATGTTTTGAACAAGGACAATTTTATTAATTAGAGCAATGACACTGATTCACTAGAACATGTCTAATATATACTATTGGTTACTCTGATAAACCACGATTTCTGGTTTGAAAACAGGCTGTGAAACACCTCAGAGTTGTCTAACAGTCATAGTATTCACTCAGGTTTGTGCGAGCTTCCTGACTGGGATTCGTCAGGTGTTAGGTAGACTAGTGTAACTAAATATGTCGCCTATTTTACCCGAGTAATTTTTCGTCTCTAGCACAGCGGATGTTATCCAAACTGTCAATCAAGGATTTCATGAGTTGTCATCACATTGGTTTGACCAATTTTAGATATTCTTTGTCACACTATTACCCTAATTAGTACTAAATATATGAACCGCTGCTTTACAATATCATTCACCGGTTCGCTTACAATAGTAATACCAGTATTAATAAGGAAGCATATTGTTATTTTTTTGTTTGTCAGTAACTAAACTGAAGTGATGTGACTGGTATATCATGCAACTGCTAGATAGAACATTTATGCGGTTTATTGGAGTTCATATCATGTCGTCCCACCAAGCAATACTTAAGTTCAAGTTATGTCACTAAACTTTAAATACCGATTCTTAAGTTTAGATTCAGCCTCACTTTTTTTCATTTCAAACATCTGTGTAATTCCTATGGTTTCTGTGATTTGAAGCTAGCTCAAAACAAGAACCTATACCGGGTTAATGAATTACAAAAGGAAATTAACTTTGTTAATTGCAAAATTTTTTAACGTATTCAAAAAGAAGCCTTGTTTAAGTATTTCTTATTATTTTCTACATTCGCCATCTTTTCTTTATCATCCACAGGCTTGCCAAAGCGAAAATTGGCGCTAGGCGTATTGCTAGACGAATAGCGAAATGTGGATTTCCGTGTCATTTTAGTAAATATCGTGTAGTTAATATTATGGCTACTTGTAAATTACCATTCGGTGTCAGATTAGAAGAATTAGTCAGTGAAAGACCGATGCAAATGAGGTTTGTTTTCGAAGTGTTAATTATTTTTATGGTACATAAATTAGAGCATTTTTTATTCATTGGTCGTTTTATAGTAAAAGATATGTTCTTGACACATGAAATTAATAAATCATATCTTTAAGCCATTAAAGCTAATAACCACGTCAAGAACGTGATTGGTAGAATTCGACTGTCATTCTTCAGTTTTCGATTTCTATACGTCATCCACTTGTCCATTGAGTCAGTCATGGACTGTCCATCTCAGTTTATTTTTCAACAGTTTAAGGTTTTAGTATCAAAGGGTACTGTAATTTGACAGGCGTTAAAGTGAAGTCCAGATTTTCAGTAGTTATCTAACTTGGATCGGTTCTTGATCCTAAGAAAATTCAACATTCACCAAAACCTCGAAATGTATTTCAAATAGGACTTCTCACTGACTACCCTCAGTTTTCCAACGCTGTTTACTTTGTTTCTGTTTGTCACAGTCCCCTTGGCGTGAGTCGTAGTCGAGATTAATCATTTAGGTTTAGTTGAACATAGATCTATTCTAACGCTAGAGTGTTCAGTCCATTGTCTAAACATCTTACTTTCCATTGGATTTGCATCTCACTGGATTTATATAAGATTAACCGTCGAATAATATTCGTAGTACTCATACAACAAATATTTTTAGGTAAAGTGCACATACACTCGGTCGAAGATTTTAATATACAACTGCACATGTGTAAGTCATCTCAGCCCTGGCATGCTGGAGGGTGGGGAGAGCCCGCCCTTCCTCTCAAAATTCTCATATAACCGTACGTATATAGCCATTGCTTGGGAACCCCTACTCATTGCCTTCTAGCTTCGGAGATGTTTAGGAAATTGTGAAGGTGAAGAGCGAAGATCCTGCGCCTCAACGGGGTTGATTGGTACAGATGATCCACCTAGAGGAGTTGGAAAACACTGATTCTAAAGCAATGGTGCATATGGACTCCAGGATTCTTAGGTAATAAATGGCGTATAAACCTATTGTTGATCGCCGGCTACCACAGAACTTCACTTCCCAAGGCTGCTTTAGTGTCTTGTGGATTAGACCTCTAGGTCAAAGGCTCGGGGTGTGACTTCCTAACATAAACCACTTACTTCTGTCTAAGCACCCGGTAGTATTCTAGCCCACGCTCAAATCGAATGATTTGTGTTGCGCATATATATTTTGGTGCCCTATTTGTACTAGTAAATAAAACTAGGATAGGATTAGGTCTAAATAACGCTAAGTGCAGGCAAACTAAGATATGGGGTCAGTCTATAAAGTTGGTAGATTTTGATCAGTACATTACTGTTAGATGTGGAGTATTTGGTTGGGGTCTTTGTGTTGGTAGTGAATAGTAATTGAGAGGTCTTGGGTGATGTGGCTCAGAGTTTCGTACTGGGGCAGGTACATTAATTCTTTATACTCCCGTAGGTTCTGGGTTTCGGTATATTTTCACAATTTTCATTCTGCGATGTAATACTTTCTAATCCATTTTTATGTTATGTCTTTCTTACTATCATCGAGACTGCTGATATCATTTTAACTCCTGATCTCCGTTTTGCCAGTGACGTTTTGACGTGATAATGTGGTGTGGTAGCCTATAAAGATTCACATTTGTGCTAGATCCGACCTTGATTTCTACTTGATTTAATTAAGGCGTGCTGAAACTCTTAAAGCACGACTATTTTACTACAATAATGTATTGGAGGTTTTGTGACTTGACTATGCAAGAGAGTATTGTTTGGCAAGTTAGTATTTCTATTTAGACGACTAAGGGTGCTGCTCTCTCCGAATTCGGCAGAGGATAAACTCGGAACTTATTTAGTCGATGAACCTCATAAGTAATATAACTTGAAATCGATAATTATCAGTCGTTAGATTACAGCTCGTGTTTTCTCTCTCTCTCTCTCTCTCTCTCTCTATATATATATATATATATATATATATATATATATATATATATATATATATATATATATATAGGAGAGAGAGGACTACACATATTCATTTTTTTCTATCAAAAATTTCTCATTCATTCATAAAAATTGTCCGTGTTAAACAATATTGCACATATTTTCTAGTTAAAGGTACTGTTCTTTCTACCATTATAAACTGTGTTACTTTTTTCTCTTCATACTAGTTACGAACCTGAATTAGCTCCTGGTCTCACTTTTAAAACTGATCTTAATTCAAGTACATCTCTAAAACTTTTTTCAACCGGACGAATCGTCATTATGGGTGAGTGTATATTCCCTATGATGTTCTTTTCTTTTTAAAATCATTTTAACAAAATATACATATGTTTGTGTGCATGAATAACAGTTATTACCTTCCTAGCCAATTTCTTGATAATTATCTATTTCAAGCTTTAAAGTTTTAAGTGATAGCATATTATTCTCTTTCACATGATTCATACCTTCTAAACTGACCAATTAGTTGATTAACCATTATTACTGTTCTATAGTAATTTCTCTGGTTGTTTCGAAGTAATCCCTTAGAGTTATTGAGTATGAAGGAGGGTAAACTTCCTCATGGTTTCAGGTTGTACATTGTAGAAGTACATAAAACCTATATCAAACAAAGCTTTTTATTAATTATTTGCAACTATTCAGTATTTTTTGTGTGGATTCAACAGAAAAAATATGTAGCCATAACAAGTATTTGTTAACTAAGTTATTTTTAATCAACTCCCAAACATTTGAATGAAATTCTCTGCTTGACTATTTGAAAATAAAACGGGTAATTATTATCGAACTGGAAACCACAATTGTGTATGATTGCGTAATCTACTTTTAATCATGTTGTTTGTAGAACTGTAGTGAAAACATCCAGCTTTTAGCTGAGTTAGGTACCAAGTGTTTGATTCATATTTTTATCTTCTTCACTTTTTGTCAGCTGGGTAATATTATTAGCCAATTAAACAAGAAAGCAGAATACCTAAACTTGTTTTTACTAAATAAGTTACATCATCAACTATTTATAACATCAATTTATTTTTAGAGTACTATTTTTTGAAATATCAATTCGATTCTTATTTGTACGTACTCTTGCTTATACATACATCATTTTCGCGCATATTTTTACATGTTATTGAAAGAAATGTTTTAACATACCAATTATATGATGTTTCATCCTTCTCAATATGCTAAATAATTTAGGGAGGGAGCTGAATAAAATCAAAATCGTTTACATAACAATGAATTTTTAATATCATATTTATCATTGCTGCAAGTTGGTTCACAAATCAAGATTCCGAATGTCTACAAAGCATACTTCACGGTACCTTGATATTGATGATAGTTGTTAGCAATATATTTGTCTGAAGTCTTTTTGTTTAAGAAATGTCTCTGTTTTAATGGTCACTCAGAATAAGTTCTTTAATAAGTATTGCAATTACATCATTTATACCTTTTCTAACATCAGGTTCCAGTTTAGATTCAATCGGTTCATTAGTCGAGGAACTAGTTCCAATTGCTGCATTGCATCAAACAGATGAACCAGTTCCAGATGTTAATGATATACAAGAACGTGACGAAGCCCAGGTAGTGTTGAAAGCAGCACGATACATGAATATGCTGCCAAATAATGGTGGTTTCAATGGATTAGTTTATGATATTGATGATGAATATGAAAATAGTGATGAAAGTGATTTTTATGAAGATGTCGGCGGTGGTGGTGGTGCTCAAAATAGTTTTTCTACAGATGATTCAACTGACAGCGGGGCTTCTATTGACAGTGGTGGTGTAAGTACTAAAGTAAAGCGTAGAATAAAAAAGAAAAGTCGTTTATCTACTGTTATGGGTAATTCCATTTCCTCTACATCTCAGTTGCGAAGTTATGATTCATTGCGATCTGGTAGTCCGCTTCATTTATTAACTCCTAGAGAGGCTGCCAGTTTGGCCTTCTCTAAACGTGCAGCTGGAAATATTGAAGATGCTAAAGATTTAGTAGCAACAGCTGGAGAATTAAGACGTCAACATGAACTGTCATTTCAAAGGACAACTCAAGATAGTATACGAACACAATCTCGTTCAAATTTTTCTGAAAGTGATCCTACATGGTCTCGTAAAGCTGTTGCTTCAGGGTCAACAAAACGTGCTTGTGTGGTCACTTATTCTGGAACAGAGGATAGTGAGTCACAAGATTTATATAATACTGTCGATCTACGCAGTCAAGGTTATACACAGTCTAATGTTTCTACAATTGAACAACAACAACACCAGCAACAATTAAAAATTATTCATGCACCATCTTTGATGCCATTGAATTCAACAAATCCTCCGGTACAAGTTTCTACCGTAATGACTCCAATCAATACTGCTGCCAATTCCTTACAATATGTATTGATTAAACCTTCTACAAGTATTGGTCAAACAGTTTACAACAATGTAATGCCTACTGTTCAACCAACTTTCAGTTATACTACAACACCGTGTGTTACACCTATACAAACAAATTCTATTGTACAATTGTCCTTGCCATTATCAAATAGTGGTGTGGATGGTCAAAACTTGATAACAGCAAGTACTGTATCATCTACTGCCTCTGTTGCTACGACTAATACTACTGTTTATCCTATCCGTCTATCCAATAATATTCTGCCCAATTACATATCATCAGTAAATGATGGCAAGGTTAGTCTTAAATTTATTAAGTATCCTTCCACTAATAATAATAGTAATAATAATAATAATAGTAATGCAGTCATAATCAAGTTGCAATAACTATTTGGACTCGATTTCTTTTGTTTTAATGTATATCAGGCAGTTTTATGCTTGCTAAGCTTGTATATATATATGTGTGTGCGCATTGTCTTCATTGTTTGTGCTTTCCTTTTTTATTTTCTTCCTCTCCAGTGACTTGTATTTATATACATATGTCTGTTATATATATTGTTGAAAGATAGAAAATTAATAGTAATGGCTTATGGTTCTTTTTCTATCTATATGTCCTGTTAAATAAATATTGAGAAATCAACAACTCATGACTACATCAAGTTTTACAAATATACACACTTTTTTGTATATAGATGTGTGTATACGCGTATTTTTGCATGTACAATATCCCATTATCTGTTGTTTGACACCAGTGTTAAAAAAATGGTGTTGTTGTGTATTGACAATAGCAATAACTTGTGTGTTTCTTCATATATTAAATTGAAATTTAGATTAATTCAGCCCTAACAATGCTCTATTACTTTTGACAACGTTTCTATGCATGTATTATTTAGTTTGTTTTTTCTTCTTTTAAAAAAGAACATTTCTACTGTGTGTATACGTGTGTAATTTCTCAATATGACCATCATCCCCATAGTTTTCACAATGCGTTGATAGTGAATTATTCGTTTTTGTTCGTTATAATTTTTACAATATAAGATTTATGAAACTGTCAATTGTATGTGTTCGGTTATGTGTAGTTTTCTTTTTCCCTATGTCTGTATTCCAGTAATTTGTTCTTGTGAATTTGAATGAACCGTTAGATATATTTCATATCGTTTCATTATACTTGAGTAACATGTTTGGTATACATTTTTTATTTGTTTATAATTATGCATGTACATATGTAGATTTATATACAAGTGTGTATGTATATATATGTACGTCAGTTTTTGTTTCGTTATTGTCTAGAAGGGATTGTCAATGAGCATTTTGTATAGCCGTTCTGTATGCGTTAAGCAATAGAAAAAGAGGTGGGTCGACAGTGAAAAACAATTCAATATGTTGCATCATATTAAAATATTTCTCGTAAGGCTATAAAAAAGTTATTTTTGGTTTAATGAATTGGCAGGTCTATAAAAAGTATACAGTTCAAAGGACAAATAATATATGTATGTAGCTATTTATATGACTGACTATTATTTTGAGTAGTAGATTGTTCATTTCAATTTGAAAAAGGTTTAAACTTTGATTTCTTGTAAGTATGCACTCATCAGCAAATTGTATATCTATCAAATTGATGAAAACAATATGACATTAAGAAATTTCTCTATCGTTGAATTACTTCAATATTATTTGTTTCAAATACTGTCAAGTTTTTAAATCTGATTTTACGTTCACAGCTTTTCTTTAGAGTTTTACAACACTTTGAACTCAATAAAGACATTTCACTAATTATAAACCTTGTTGTATTCATGTACAATTAGTCAGTTTAATTGAATTCAAATAAAAACGTTGTATGTCATAATCAAATTGTACTGGAAATAATAAATGAAACTTTGTTTACACTTGTTTAAGAACAGTTAAGCATAGTGCTTGGTAAACACCTTTAACTACGTTTTATGGTCATTAAATCTTTGAGTAATTAATCGTTTTTGTATATTGTATGACTTTTCCCTCCATAATAAATGTATACTACCTCATGATTCATTAAATAATCTTTTCAAAAGAACATTTAAAAGATTATTTGTCTTATTACTGTAGACTCATAGCCTTAAGGATTAGGTGTTAATCGCTGAAAAATTAGGTGTTAACCAATCAAACTGATGAATTAGTTCTATTCTACCTCACATAATTCTTCATTTTAATAATTGGATAGTACTTCTCAAACTTCAGATACATGTGCAACTCAATCCATAATAAATTTATTCATTATTTATATCTCCTATCATTCTCAAATTCTAAGTGTATATTGTACAGTAAATATGAAAGAGAAAATGTGAATAATTTTTCTTAAGAGGCTGTGTTTAGTTCCTGCTTGTTTCTAAGGCGTTATGAATTCATTTAAAAGGATTTTTCAAATCATTTTCAATAACTATAATGATATTTTCACAGTGTTTTTTGAACAGAATTCATATTACACATTTGTTACTTGGTATGTTACTTTTTCACTAATATTTTCACTCTTGAAATTCTAATATTTTAAGCTTATAAATTAAAGTCATTCTTCATCTCATAAAAAAAACATTTGTACTATTTGTCCTCAGGTTTATTGTTATTTGGTAATATAATAGATGTATCCACTCAATATTTATATTCTTAATTTCACTTGTTCAGTTACTGAGTCACACTATCATTATGTTAGCTATGTACTTTCTTGTTATAATGAGTTACTTAAATTTATTTCCTACAAGTTTTCCATGGTTTTTTCATTGAATAGAAGTAGGTTATTCCCTGCGATTTGATTTGTAAATAGTTTAAATTACATTATTATTTATTTTATAGCTCTAGTCATTCTGCTTTATTTCAAACTTTTCCACTTGATTAGATGATGACCTTTGCTACTGGTACTCCTTCTAATACGTATACAAATCACTTAATAGGCTTTCCTAATACAACTCAAATATTTCCAAATGTTTATCAAGTTGATCCCAATTCAATTATACCTGGCCAAACTGCTCCACTTGTCTTTGGATCCTCTTTACTCACTTCATTTCAACCTACAAATAATGTTATACATCCACAGATACATTTACCTGCCCCAAGTGTTCTATCTGGTTCACCAAATATTTTTGTTGGAAATTTCCCTCCAGGTATTACTTTAAAGACAGCACCTGTACAAACAGTCGGAAGTGTAACTTCAATTCCTTTCACCCCAACATTTGCTTACCAACAACCTGGAGGTTATAATTAATATCTAAAAATACTGATATGGATATAATCATTCTTTTTTCTTTCTCCCCTCTATCTTGCACACACAACAACAGTAAATCTCATTGTACATAATACAGCACATACTAGATTTTCTCATTGTGAATACTTGCCAAAAAAAATATCCAATACAGTGCATCAATCATCCAGTATATTTCTTGACTTTATTACACACACACACACACACAGAATTGTATCTAACATACATAATTCCTATAAAACTTGATTTCATCATTCTCAACATTTATTATAAAAATAAATACTATTTCAAAAGAACTTGTAAATTTGAAATGTTTTATTTTCTGAAATTACTTTTAGTTGTTTCAATTATTCATGTTTGAGCAGTATTTTTTTTTCCCACCATCAATGATACCTATTTCTCTCATTGAAATCATGCGAATTAGACCATTATCAATATTAAACCGCTGTTTTGTTTTCTTTTTAATGAAAAAAAAAGAAAGACTGTATGCATTTATTGTTTATTATGTCACGTTTTTCTATTTGTTCGTTCATTTTTGTAATTTTCATTTCATTCAAATTTAATATCTAACTTTTGTGTTACCTCATCTTTCAAAATTTAAGGCGAAACAAAATTGAGAACATAGTTTTTTCTAGGTTTAAAAATCCATCTATCTTTACCGTAATATATATTGTTATATATGTTTGTACCATTTGAGACATGTATTACATGAATAGTAGAAGTGAATCTTTTTTTTTCTCCAAATTAGTTGTTTAGTTTTTGACGTTTCTTTAGAGTTAAAAATGATCTATGATTTCTAGTTGAACTGAATTAAATGGATCATTTTCATGGTTGTTTTGATATTACATCAACTTTGTTTGTTATTTGAAGTGAGATAATATTTAAACTAATTATCTAGTTATATTTGTATATTTAGTTTTGATGAGTGTTAGGTAGTCGATATGAATACCTAGACCTAATTTTCGTGCTATTTAACACTCGTCAGCCAGGTATACCTATACTGTTGAATTAGCTGCAACTCCCTGGTTGATTCGATTTCATATCACCCCGCTTCACATTTTCATACGTCATAGTTATCCAGGCTGAAACTGGTCTGTGGAATAGATGTTTACAATCGACCAGTCCATGAGTAGAGACCATTGTCATGTCTGTTTAGTTCTTTATTACTGATCGAATTCATTTTCTGCTTATGTATTAGGGTTTTGACACTCGTGTGTTGCTTTATATACCTCCGAAATACTTTGATGCTGAAAGACTATCATCCAAGTATTAAGTGTTATTAAGCTCAAATACGTAGTAAACTTCCGGAGATTTCACTGTAAAAATGCAAACTTATTAGTATCCTAGGCATCCTACTTCATGATTCATCAGTGAACACTCCTAAATGAAATCGGATTTTCGAAACTCATAACTAAACAACAAATTTCTGATGTGGAACTTTATCGTATGCTGAAAAATTCTAAAATGTAAACCCGGAAAGATCATTTAGAGTTTGTATTATTTTATAGTTTCCCATGTATTATTGCGTTAATAACGCGTGTTTGCTGTTTAGTTACCATATTTGTTGTATGTTACCGTTTGACTTCATTCAACAAACAGGAATCTACATCTTAAGATAGTAATGCAAAACTACCAACCAGTTTAGCAAACAAGATGACTCAACCAATGTATGCCTCACTGTTTAGTAATTGTTTATGTCCTATAAAATTAGCTGATCACTATACAAATATCAATCGGTTGTGTCACCGTATCAGATTCTCATGAACATTTATTGACATGTTTTCCAAAATTTTCAGAATTCACATTTTTAATTAGCTATTAATAAACTATTGTGCTTGTAAGAATAATTAACAACTTCTACACACTTATTCTTTAGTAAGAAATATCTTGTAAATGGGATCAAGTACGTTATTGGTATGTTAATTTGAAAACATTCACTGGCATAGAGGAATTGGAATATCTTATCTCCGTGATGCTTTGCGCCTAGTCATTTGTTTCACTCAAAAGTTGTTTCACATACATTGGTATTATTATAGGTTACATAGTTATATACTTTCGTAAGTCGGAGGACAAACTGTTCTAGGTATAGGAATTTTTCTGCAACCACCAGTAATTTAAACGGATTTTTACAGTTTGAGCTCTATGGACATTTTTTGTTGATCTGTAAAATTAAGACCTGAGTTTGTTCTAAGATTTCGTACAATTATTGATAAGCTCGTGTATATATTCATATGGATTGAAACGTTATTCTTCTAGTCCTAAAACCACCTTTAAATCCTTGTCCTTCAGTAAAAGTACTTTTTAAATTTAGCAAGTATGACGCTGCAGTGAGGTAGTAATCTCAGCTTAGAAGGCTGTTAAATAAAGCAGTATTACGAGAATGCTTAATACAATATCAAGTTAGGTTCTGGAAGCCTACATTGTAACTTCGAGTCTTTAAAGTTGTGCATTCTTTCAAATAACTTGAAGCTCCTAGCATAATCAATTACGAACATTTGTTATGAGTTTATTAATAACACACCAATTTGTGTTTGTGGGTCAGTGGGAAATGAGAATTAAATTATTTTGACTCCAAAGAAACAAATACATTACAATGTATTTTATGAAAAGACACAAAAATGGGTTCTGCTTTACATCTATTAAACGATTTGTGGAATTGTAAATTCTTAGGCGTTTATAGAGTTAAATGACACCAATATGCACACATGTGTTTTGATTTCTGTAAAGTAAGCTAAGTGCGAGCCTTATAGTTTTCATATACAAAGTTTATTACTTTTTATTGATAAAAATAGGATGCATCCGTCATTTCTGCATATATATTCAAGAGAATAGGGAATTTAAGGTGTCTTTTTCTGCAGTAATAGAGAGTGGTCTTGTCAGATCGTAGGAATTTCGTCTACTTCTTAGGTGTATAAATCTTTGAAATTAGTAATCTAAATATGACTTGCTCTCTGAAGTTTCAACCAATTCTACCTGGCTTTACTTAGTAGTATTTTAACACCTAGCGTTCCTACAAACTCAAGAGCTAGTCTTATAATCTTTTCTAAGGATCTAAACTAGTTTAGAATGACCGATATACTTTAATAATTAGGCAGTCATCTCATCCCTATAATAAATAAGTCATACCGAGAGAAATATTCATAATTTTACTATAATAAAGACGAGCAACAACCCACAATTTGGCTAAAAGGCTAAAACATCCGTTTCATTTACATTTGAAAGTCTTTTTCATGTTGACATGGGTAATGGTAAAACCGAGATTAAAAGATTATGTTTTCATTTTGCTCTACTTTTTTGTCTTCCTGCTAGTTGTCACCTTTGTTGGCAGCGGTGTCCGCTTTATATGTTTTTTCTTGGAATATCTTTCCGATTTATCATGAAGGTTTTGTAATATTTGGTCTGTAATATGATATTAGTTTATAAAACAAATCACCTGTTAAGTTAGGGTAGTACTGTTCAAAGTTTTCAAGCATAGGTCGTATATTCACTTGTTGATCTGACTTGTCTCCTTATTGCTGAAAAGTTAACTATTATGTTTACCTTCAATAGCTACAAGAATGTAGACGCCACCACCTTCAAGACTTTGAACAGTTTGCTGGTAATTTTGTGAATCACTTAGTCCTAAAAGCCTTCCCGAAGTGTCACATAAGTCAAATGTGACTTTTTTGTAAATGCTTGTTAGATAGACACATACTTTCAGGGTCTATGTCGCAAGCGGTTACGATATAGTTGAGTAGAATTTCAAAGGAACACCACATATTGACTAATACTTTTTTGTTTTCTGTAATACGATGTTAGTACTATATTTACTGTAATACCTCCAAATCTGATCCATATAAATGGTCTACTGGTTGGCAACATACTCATCTCTCAACTTTGTAATTTATCTGACAAATTGAGACTAGTTCGACCTATTTGTGTGTAAGATAATTTCTGCTGTTCAGTACCGAATAACTTTGTCACAAGCTTTTATAAACCGATTGTTTTCTTTGCTCTCGCTTCTTGGTTTTTTTTCGGTACGGTCTCAGGTATTTGGTAACGTCCGATGGGCGATTGTCCAACCACTCGACTGAATTAATTCTACTCAGTTTGGTAGTTACCTGAGAATTTGTATACCTTGTAGTTTGGGTGAGTGTATTTGTCCCAGGGCAGTAGAATTTCTGGATACCAGCAGCTATCGCATTACCAAGCAGAACGTTGGTTGTTTGCAATGTGGGGATAATGATTTGACAATTCGTGTGCTAAGGCAAGATAGCTATTTTAAGGATAAATAAATAATTTACTTGATTGATAATGTGTAAGAGGACGAAGTTGAAAAAAAAAATAAGAGGAGAAGCGGAGATAATTATATGGAAGATAGGAAGTAGATACTGATATACGGTAATGACAACTGTGGTATTTTATGAAACATGTATTAGACACGGCTGGTTCGAGTAGGAGGTGGTTGTCCATAAATGAGTATTTGTTTGTCAAGTCTTTTAAAGCTATTCAGTGATGGGGCTGTCGTCATTTAGTCTGCAAGAGCATTTAAAATGAGGAAAACCCTTTAATGATAAAATTGAGCGCGTACCTCAATGTTCACTATTTGATGTGCAATCTTTCAAGATTATTTATTTATTTGGACACATGAATATTGGTACAAGAGAGCGCCAATATATATGCGCCACACAAAACAATGAAAATTCGAGAGGAATACAAAGAAAGGAAAAAAAGCTAAGGAGCGCAAAAAAAGAGAACAATAACGAAGAGATTGGTGTAAAGTAATGTGCTAGTAATCAGGGAACGCAAAGGTACAATCGGAAGAAATCTTTCAGGTAAGGGAGACACAACCACTTTTTATGAAGAAAGTAAAAGAAGGTTACAGCAGGATCGCCACTGGCTTCTATTCTGAGCCATATCTGATAACGTCTCTAGCCACTGTGTAGCACCATCTCTCAGACCCCAACCAGGGAGTCGTGAAGGACCAACACAAACCAGTCCTTTGCAGCTTTCTTTCATGCCAC